GTCATTTCTCCAACCTTTATTTTTATTTTAACTTATTTTTCTATTTTTGTGTCTGTGCAGGTACATGTGTTTGGGTGTGCACATATGTGTGGGTGCCAAGATGCTTGTATTGTGCATGTTTAGGTTCATGTGTGTGCATGTGTTATGTGCATGTGTTTATCAAAGCCAGGTGTCGTTATTTAGGAGATGTATGCCCACCTTTACTTTATGAGACAGGGCCTCTCACTAGTCTGGAACTCATCAAGTAGGCTAGCTTGGCTGACCATTGGACCCTAGGGATCTGCCTGTCTTGGCCATGCCAGCACTGGGTTTACAAGCACATGCCACCATGCCCTGCTTCTTTCTGCTCTTACATGGTTTTAGGGACTTGAACTTGGGTCCTTATGTTAGCAAGTTAAGCACTTTACTGACTGAGCTATCTCCTAGGTCCCTGAAAACTTATCCTAATCTATAAATTTATCCTTATCTATAAAACTTATCCTTATCTATAAAATGGGAGTATTTTTTCAAATGAGCCTTCATTTGTTTTTTAAAATTTTTATTAATTATTTTTATTTTTATGAGTATGCGTGTATTGCCTGCATGTAGATAAGTGCACCTGTGTCGTGCAATGCCCACAGAGGACAGAAGAGGCTGTTGGATCCCTTTGAACTGGAGTTATGGACAGTTATTAACTGCCATGTGGGTGCTGGGATTAGAACCAGGGTTGTCTGCAAGAACAGTCAGTGTTCTTAACTGCTGAGCCATCTCTCCAGCCCCTAAAATGGAAGTTTTATAAAAGAAAAATGAAAATAATAGAAACTACCAATTATCTGTGTGGTGGTGCCCTAATAGTTGTGATATGCATAATTTTATTTAAATGATAAAACTTCACCAATTAACTAGTGTTAACACTTCTGTTTTTATCAATGAAAAACTGAAGCACAAAGAAATTAACTTATCAAAAGGAATACAATGGGCAAATTGGGAAGTGGGGGGTTCAATCCAGTTAATATTTCTTGAGAATGAAATGTTATAAAATGTATAAAAGATCTAGGCAGTACGGATGTACCAAAGATGTTAATAAATCTGCATCCTTTTTACTCTCTTAGAAGGGGAAGTGCAACTACTATTTATGAGGCACATGAATTGGAGAACATCAAGAGACATTTTCAGATGTTCCATGACAAGACACTGAATGACAGCTGGACTCTATCTTCCACCAACGCTCACATGTGCATTTCTTTTCTGAATCCATAGTCAAATCCTTGCAATCTCTCACTTTTCCTGAATACTGTCCCTATCTGTCTGATTACACACCCAACATAGAAAAAACTTACTTTTATGACTCCCATTACTTCCCCATTCTTGGTTTCTCAACACCGTATGATTCTACATGCTGTTTCTGAATTTCAAATGTCATGTAATCCAAAATAATAATAGAAACAGCTACACTTCAGAGAAAGCACACTGCATGTCAGAGATTAGGTTGTTTAATACCCCGAACCCTCAATAACAGCACTGTGGGAATGTGCTGTTAGCATCCCTACTACTTCAGAGAAGAAGCTGGAGCCATGAGAGTTAAAGAACTTGGCTCCAGCCCTACAGTCAGTGTGTGATAGAGTCTCGTCTCAACCAAAATACAGTTAATAGCAAAGTCCATGCTTTTAAGAATGTGAGAAAATTTGGAGTTGTCAAAACTCAAGGCAAATTGGGGTAGGAATATGCCCAGTCACATAGCAGGTTACTAGGGATGCTGGGTAAGACATATCCAGAAACTGACATCTTTAAAATATATTCAATTACATCTTAGCCTAAGTAATTCATGTTCATCCCATATCCTGTATCACAATGCAAGCTCTCTTCATTTCATGAAAGAGTGAATTAGGATGGTGCAGTACAGATATTTAACAGTGAAAGACTCCAAATTCTTCTAACTATGTAAATGTAGTAAGTTTACTGCGTAGCTTCAGGGCACAAAAACATGTTTTGGGCACTAGAAAAAAATTAGCAATAAGAAGTGACCACTTCCCTCAGAAACAGTAGAATTAATAATCACACTGAAAAGCATATAAAATGCCATAGGAGAAGAACAAAGTGTTGAAATTGTATGGGATAGATGAAAAACCTCCTAGTGTTCAGGATTCTGGGAAAAGTTTTAAGTAGAAGGTGTTATTTGAGATGTAGTTCAGGGGAAATGAACTAGATGCAAAGGGTTGCTGGACTGGTAGCCTGGATACAAAAATACGAAGAGATAGGTGTCCTGTTCAGCGATGAGCATTCTGCAGCGGTTTGCTCTCTGCACATGGGCCAATCGTGGGTCTCTGGGTGAATCACCATCTGCTGCATAAGGAAACTTCTCTGATGAAAGTTAAGAGATGCATTTATCCTGAGTGTAGAGGTTGCACTGAAGATGTGTCACTTAGGATTAAGCATCTCACAAACAGTTTTTCTCTGTGTTTGATCAGTTCTGGAACTCTGTACCATCTCCATCTGTTGCAAAAAGAAGCTTCTTTGGTGAGAGGTAAAAGGTACACTTGTCTATATGGACCCATACTGAGAGGTTTTTTTTATCAAATTGGGAGAGGATGATGGGGAGAGGTGCAGAGAGGGGAGGGGATCCAAGTACTATCAAATTGTATTGTATGAAAATTGCAAAAATTCAATTAAAAACTGCAAAGAGAAAGTGCATGAGACTCAGAGCATATTATTTCCTTTGCAGGAATGAAGGGGAATAACTGTTTAGGAAATCAGTAAAGATGCTAGACTTGGTAGACAGTGGTGAATCCCTGAGGAGTTTGAATAGGGTGATAGCGATGCAGAATTGGATTGTTGAGTCTAGCATCCCAGTCTAGACGATAGATACTGTCAAGAGGGGAGGGGGAAACAGGATACCAGTAAAGGAAAGGTAAGGAGATGCTAGGTAAAAAGAAAAAATGACTGATTTTTAATACCAGATGGATTTCCCCTTATTTCTGATAAAAAGAGGAGTTTTAATAGGTAGCCTTTTCCTGGATGGTTAAGAATTTATCTTTTCCTTTCAGTAAGATGCTATTTGGAATAAACTAACTTAAAATCAACTAACAGCCATTGTTAGTTGCATCTGCATTTGTTCACAGGTAGCCAGGACACCGAAGAGAAAGAATAGGACACGAAGAGAGTACATTCGCTTCCAAACGGTTCTTGTTACTAAAGACATCAAGCCCTCCAACAGATGAGGTAGGCGGGAAAGGCTTGACTCATCAGGGTCTAGGTTCCACTCTCAGCTTTAGACAAAGTCCCCATTAACTTCCCTGATGTTCAGCTTGTTCTCCACATCGGCATGGTATAACAATGAAATCTGATTTAGAGAGTGACGTGATGCCACATGTGAAATGTATCCAGCCAAGGCAGATCCACAGTAAGTAACTGGTAAATGGTATCTAATGACACGGAATTAGCATCAGCTTTTTCATAGCTCTCTGACCCCACGTCCTACAACACTCCCTCATTCCCTGAGCTCAAGCTGCCCATGTCAAGCCCATTCCTACCCCAGGGAATTGGAATCTGCAGTTCCATTTGTCTAACAGCATTTCTCCCAATTAAGTACACAGCTGACTCCCTGTCCCTTATCACAGAGCTGACCTCTCCTCTAAACCCTCCCTAACTGTTCAAGTAATGAAACACCATCCCTTGTTGGAATATATTTTGTATTTATATTCTCTACCACATGTGTCAGCATCTAAACCTGTCTAATCTGCATAGTATACCCTCTTTACTTTCTAGTTTGTACAGCAGAGACCTTGTCAACATTCATTTTTGACAGGCTTCTGGAAACAGACCCTTATACATGGTGTGCTTAAAAACTGTTTCTTTGAACCCTGTGGTGATAGAGAGAAGATTAAACCACAGAACAGGTAGAAGCACCAATATTAGTTCCTCCTGCAGGGCATTTCTGGGGCCTAGAACTTTGCCTAGACTTAGCAGGTTATATAGAGCTGGTACCAGCTTAGGTTGTCATTCTAGGAATTTTCAAGTGATGGGTATTTTCTATGTGAAGGAGAAAGTTTCATAAGTAAGGTGGAAATGTGAATCTCGGTAAAGGATTGACATCTAGAAAAAGAGCTTGCATTAGTGTTACAGACACTGTTTTAGAGAAACCAAGAAAAGTAATTGTGGAACACCTTCAGGGGACATGCCCTAGCTCAGTTGTTCAGGCTTTAGCTCCCAAAAAGGTTCCTTCTATGGCAAGGATCAAAGAGAGCAGAGAACAGAGGCGGGAGATTCCAAATTCCCTCTTCTCTAAACTCCTTCAGTCTCTAAAACATTGAGATTCTGAAAATTTTTGTATGAAGAAAGGATTATGATTTGAAAACCTAATTATTTCCCCATCCCCTACCTTGTATTTCAGAAGACAGCGATCCCAAGAGTTTAAGAGCTGGGGCTTGTCATCTCTCATTCTGACCACTTTGTGTGAGGCACTATCTCAGAAAAGATGGGACTGCGATTTCATTAAAACATAATCTGGACTGAAGGGAGTTGGACAGGCTCGTGAGTGGCTTCTTACATAAAAAAAGTTTTAAGTAAAGAGGCATATGGCTAAAAACCTCAGTCTGAGATCTGTTCATGTGCAATTGCCACAGATCCCTAAGAAGGGATCCTATAGTCTGTGTCCTGAGGGTGGCCGAGCTGGATCTCCACACTCTGGCTGCAGGATGACCATTTTAGAGAGACCTATCCTACTGCTTGAGGCCTTAATAAAGGTGACAGGCAAGCAGATAGGCAGGTAGAATTCACATTACTTAAGGGCCCTGGCCTCTTGGTTTATTTTAAGGAGAACCTGATATTGAAGACAGAAAATTCTCTGGCTTCAAGTGATAATAGCTTCTGGGGGATGACCTGGCTCTGAGGATTATGGAGATGCTCCGTAGTACTGATACACAGGGGCATTGGTATTTTAGCATATAATCAAAATTCAGTTCTTAGTTTTAGGACTTAAGATTTCCTTTAATATATAGTTTATATAAGCATGTACAGATGAATTCATATAAACATATGTGTCAATATTCATCAATAATTAGAATTAATCAATAAAACCCCATTTTTCCAAAAACATATTCCTAGAAATTGCATCACAAAGTACTTATCATGAAACTAATGATGCTTTCGTGGAAACAAGGTTACAATCAGGGATCTGAATACCTTAAACACCTTCAACCAATAACCAGCAATCTCATAAAACACATCATCAAAATGTCATCCTCTAAAATTATAAAAGTTAAACTTAGAGTTCTGAATACATACACTTAATATACTGATTACACAAGGGGGCTCAGCATTATAAACTACACAAGTGGCCCCATTTGTAGCTCTTCTTCAAAAAATGTAAACAAAAATAAAGGTATTAGATAAAATAACCTTATGCCATTATCAATAGCCACTTACATGACTTTCAGACCAGGAAACGTCAAAAGTTATTCGGTTCAGTAGCTTTGTAGACTCTTTATGTAACAATCTTATCAGAGAATAATTCACAGTCTGGTCCACATTTGATTTTAATAGAATTATATGTGTTTGGTGGGAATTCATTTTACAGCCAAGGACTTTTTTCTCCAAATACATTTTAACATGGAAAACAGGCATAGGAACTTAGTTCATGTTACTGCAAAGTTGTTTGTAAAATAGGGCTAATTTTTACCAAAATTAGCCTCCATCTTTCTCTGTTCACCCTTTTACTTTGAGAATGACACAGTTCTTTTAAATGAGAGTGTGATACTAAATCCACGTGTTGAGCAATGTGGAGTCACCAAATGAGGACTGGCAGTTTTGGAGGAGCTGATACCCCACGGCTGCCTTCAGTTTGGTTTCCAACACAGAAACCTCATGCTCTAAACTGATCTCATCTCTTAGCGAATACATCCTTAGCCCTTGAGGGCGCAGGCATGCTTACAGTAATTCAAAACATCCATAAAAATAATAAACATATAGAATATCATTTTATGATTTACAGAATGTCTCCATAAACGTTATTTATCTCCGAAGCAGCTTATATGAAGTAAGCAAAAGAGATTCTGAGGTCAGAGACGTTCAACTTTCGGTTCTATCCACTCAGTAAGTCGGCCATTGACTTAGTGCACATGCCACTTTCTTATCGACATGCTCACGGAGGTGATGAGTGCATGGGCAGCCAAAGCAGGTTGACTCTCATCACCAGGTCCAGATCTATGGGTCCTGGTAGCTTGCTGCTTCTTTCTTTGTATTAGAAAAGAACCACCATTAAAATGGTGCTTACTTCCAAATGGATGCCGAGTCTAGTGACAACAAGGGAGCAAGGACTTGAAAACCCAGCCACAGAGTCAGTATGCAAGTCAGAACTTCAATTCCCTTCATGTTTGACAAGAATGGATGCCTAGTCAGAACTCTAGCAGATCAGTCTTCACAAGAATCATTTCAGCACTGAGCAATACTTCTCAGCAGCTTCCGGGAGTTCTCTTTCAGAGCCTACTTCCCTTTGCTAAAGAAAGACTTTGTGTCCAGGAAAAATAACCTTCACATGACAGAGAATTCTTTTTGGCAATGGATGGTCGTGGTAGTCCTTCTTCCTCATGCCACAGTCTCTTTCCTATCAAGTTCAATTTCAGAACTAAAGTCAACATAAACAGGAATGGAAGTGATACTTCATGAGCAGCTCCAGAAAAGAATCTGGTAATTAACCCTGAGACGTATCAAACCATAGCCAAGATGAAAGATGAAACCTCACCTGGCTCTGGGAAGTGGTGCTTTCCTCTCTGGGACCTTTGATCTGGAATTGCTGGGACTATCAGCTTTGAGCGAAAGACATCAGGTTAATTAACTGGAAGGGCAGGGCTGACCAGCTGAGGCATTTGGAAGGCCCAAATTAGGAATGAAGTTCCTTTGAAATTAAGTCAAAAGGCTTTTTGAGGTAGCAGAGGGCTGACTATGGCAGCATTGTGTTGTCCTAGTAACGGAAAGAAATCTTAAAGACGCCTCCCCTGCCCCAAGACACACACTCCAAGCTTCAGTTGGCAAACATAGAAAGCAAGTTTCAGAGACGGACGGACATTGCTCAAGGTATTCCAGCCACTTTAGGATCATAGAGAGCCAGGACCGACATCTAGGTCCTCTGACTTGGAGTCAGACATGTTTCCCACTCCCAGCACTCCTGGGCTCTGCACTTTCCACCTAAGGGAGACCACGAGTGAGATGGTCACACACACAGTATTGTGTTCCATCAGTTCTTTCCATGGTGAGCAGCAAAGTCAAATTGGAAAGCTTTGAATTGGTACTGTGGGTTTCACCACATGCTCTTGGAAAAGATTTCAGCATCTCTTAACACCCACAATACTGCCAGCCTTGCCTAAGGTTCTTTAAATGTCTCATCCTAGCTGACAGGAAAGTAAACACCTCAGACAAGACAGGGCCTGGTCCTGGTACTAGGGGAAGCTGTGTTCAGCTTCCCTCCAAGGTTGCTGCGGAGATCATTTCTCACTGACAAGCCTGTCTTCCATGTCCTCCATGGCAAATGAAGAGAGCTGGCCCTCAACAGAACACTGACACAAGAAAGGGCAAGCGGAGGTCTGTGACTGACACAGGGCTGGCTAAGAGGATGCATGCTTGCACCCAGACACATGGGGGTGAGGTGGGGTGTATAAGTGCCCAGAACAGAAAAAAGAAAGGACTGTGGTTGTTTGAACACAGCTGTGGCAGATGTGACCAAGCAAGAAATGTGACCAACACAGGCATGCAGAGTATGTGCTTTGACAATATCTGTGAGAGGACACGGCAAAGAAGGCGTATTTGGAAACTGAGAATCTAGCACAGTGAATGCTTGCAAGACAGACTGTGAACAGCAAGGAGATGTGTATGCCAGGAACACTAGAGATGTTCAAGCAAGACTACAGACTCCAGGAAGAAGAAACTCTGGCAAGCAAAAGGGAATTAGGAGGCCCTCTGTCCCCTGACTCCCTCAAATGCCAGCTGCTGGAATCCCAGAGGAAAGCCCAGTGTTACTGTATGCTGTTGGAAGGCCTTGGTTGTAGAGAGTGCCCCGTGCAGTCATGCACAAGCAGCAGCTTAGGACCTGGTCTCGATTGGAGCCACAGCTGTCTTCTGGGTCACTGTCCCAGGGGCCTAAGTGTCACTGGACTGAGCAGCCACCAAAGGAGAAGTTGCTGTAGGGTGGCACTGACTCTCCCATTGGCCACCACATTCCACTGCATCCCTGGAAGGGGAGAAGATTAGAAGACTCAGCATCAGAATGGATGAACAAGCCCACCCAGTTCAGGGTCCCTCATGCTCCATGCAGATGGGTGGTAGCTTAGACTCTAAACTAAGAATTCTCAGCGACATACCCGCCTATGTACTTATTCTGGAACAACTTTAGTTTTTAGAAATAGCCCATTAATATTCATCCCAAATTTCCTCCTACAACTTCTACCCAGTAGAACTACTGTGCATTCAAGGTCCACTCAGAGTTCTGCTCTCTACTGATGATGCCCTCCAAGTTTTCTCTTCCTTAGGCTAATAGCTTACTATGGATTATGGGTTCCAGATTATATCCCATAATGAGCACTGTCTTCTGAACAAAATTCATACTATAATGATCTTTCTTAAAATTTAGCACCTGAAAAAAATATAGCACCTGGAAGGAGCGTCATAGTAAGCATGGCATATTATGTCCTTTTCATCGGTGGTTTAGTTTACTTGAATGAAAGTCGTTAAATTGAGCTCATTTCTAGCAACGCTAATATGCTATTGGCTAGCACTGAGTTTCTTATAACACACACACATATTGAAATAAGAGAAAACTATATTGTTTTAATTTAATTCAACTTGTGTTAATTAAAATTGTTACTTCTTACTGTTCCTTACCATGCTGTTAGCACTTGATTTATGTATTTCAGTCAGAATACAGAACGTTTGTTTCAGTTAAACTTTATCTTATGGGTTTCATATAATTTTTTTCTGGTTGATATCATGCTATATGATAATATAAGAATTTCAATATTTGAGGGGCTAGAGATATGACTCAGTGTTTAAGAGCACTGGCTGCTTTTCCAGACAACCTTAGTTTAGCACCCAGTACCCACATGGCTTCTATAACTCTAGTTCCAGGGGATCTAATACCCTCTTCTAGTCTCCACGGGTTTGCAGGCATGTAGTACACTTACATAAATGTAACCAAAACATTCATACACATAAAATGAAAATTTAAAATGTCAACATTAGAGATAGCTATTTATGCCTACTTAAACTAGGCTTTTCTACACAGAAGGATCAGATAACCTGTAGAGCTATTGATACGTAGACGTTTCAATTTAATGCTGTGTTTTAGATGTTTCAAATCAAGGTAAAAATATTTAGCCAGACAGAACAAAGTATCAATATAAACTATGCCGTAAGCATGTAAGCCTCAATGTGCTTAAGCATGGACCCACCATGGCAGGCTTTGCCCAATGACTTTCTCAAATGTCTCACCAAACCACTTCTCTGTCCTAAGAGATGAAGACCTCATTTGGCAAGAATTACTTTTAATCATGTATATAACCAGTGTCTTAGAATTCTGATAAAGTCTACAATTTTTGAAGTCCATCCTTAGTTTTTCTTGAAGAACAGGGACAAGGTTTACTCATTTTTAAGCTTTGGCTGTTCTACCTGTTCAAGAAGAGAGACATTTAGAGCTGTTATCCACCAGCTTTTAAGGCCACGGAATTTTGTATGCTTTGGTTTAGAAATAGTTAAAGGTTTCCCATTAATTCCAGATGACAACCTTCCCCTACAGGGTTCTCTTCTTTCTAGTTGGAGTCTGTTCTTATCGCAGCAGAATATGGACTATTCTCTAAATAATGAGATCTATCTATTTTGGGGCTTGACACTTGCTCGGAGCATACTTTTGATTCGATCTTGGCTATATGTCCCTCCTTCCAGAAGTTTCACATGCCATTGAAAAATATAAAATCTTTAGGCAACTCAAAATGTTTCCCTCACAATGTTACATGTTGTCCCATATCTCTGTTTATTGAGTATGTTGAAAATATCTATGAAGAAGAAAAGAACAAATGGAAAGAAGGAGAGAAGGACGAGGAGACAGACTGCTCATCTCTCATTGGCCAATGGCCCAGACTCTCACTCCATGGAAGGCTCAACTACCTCAGTCAGAAAGGCAAATGGGGACTAAACAATAAAAACAGGGTGATCTAATAATATCATTAGCCAAGAATAGTAATTAATCAGCATAATCAACATAACATTTTCTTGTTCTTTGTCTTTCAAGTCTTTGAGATTAAAAAATATACGGCATTATATGACACAAGAAGAGACTGGCTTTTGGTGCAAAAGGTCACACTCAGTGCACATGACTTTCACATTCAAGGAGCTCCAATTGCTCTCAATTTAAGGTCACCCTCATAACTGAGCAAAAAGAAGCATCCAAATGCAGCAATGAGAACCAGAAGCACATGGGCTAACTATACTGCATGCAACGATGTCACTGTCCATTCTCATTGCTCATTTTCCCCATTTGTTAAATTTGGGGAAGAGGATGGTATATAAGAGCCTTTGCAGCTCTGACATTCTGATCCTGAGTAGCAGGGATTGTGGGTGACAGATACAGGTCTTCTGATTGGGTGGCAGCTGTGTGTGGGACTGTTCTCCAAAGCTGTGGGTAATTGCTTCAAATTTGGCTTTTAATATTCTATTGTTAGTATCTGATACTTTATATTCCATGAGGAGGGAAATGATTTTGCTGGAAATACAGGGAGGGTGATTTTGCATTTGTATTAAAGACTCTAAAAACCATCAATTTCTAAATCTGTGAAATGACACTGCAAAGTTGCTAAATGTATTTGGGTAGAACTGCACAGGGTGGGGCTCAGATGCCACAATGTAAAATGCAGTGAGATCACAACTGTCTTTCTTCAAACATATGTTTGCTCAAAAACATTGGCAGAGCTACTTGAAATCTCTGAAACAAAGCATCATTAAAAGAGAAGGCTCTTTCTTCAGTGATCTGGCCGATGAGTTTGAAAATGTAGTTTCTTGCTTTATTCATTTTGGTGAAATCCTTTACCAAACAACACATTTTCATATCTTTCTCAATGTTTAATCTTCATCACGTGTCTATAAAGAAGGCATGTACAGAGTATTATTTCCATTTCAGAGGAGGAGGACACTGCAATGCAGATGTGTATTGACTGATGTCCAATAGTGGCTCCAGCGCTATATATTGGGACTTCTGTCCAATTCTGCCTCCCAAACCAGGAGTTCTCTCCACTGGGCAACATGAGAATCATATTTTTTTGTGGTAAGAGTTTTGTAATGAAGTCTGATATTAACTATTAACAGATTAAGGAATAGTCTTAAAGTTACTAGGGTCTCATTAAAAAGAGGTGAGGAGGAGGAGGCACACTAGCTAAATCATCTGGAGACTGTGTATGATGAGTAGGAATGTCCCTGGAACAAACACAGAGTCTAAGGATTCACATCAGCCCTCTGATAGTAGAGGCAGAAACTCAATAAGAAGGGAAGAAATCTGCACTTAAAAATCACTTGAAACTGATTTTTACATACACAGGAGCATAACGTTCCCTGAGAAAGTATTAAAATTTTCTATTAATACTTGAGAGACATCTAGAGCTATATTCTTGGGACTACAGAGAAAAACAGAAGTGAGTCACAAGGACCAGAGTTAGAAGTATGAGACACTCAGTGGTATTCCAAAAGTGATCAGAATGGAAGCAGTGAAACAAGATAAAAAGTGCACGTCAGCCGGGCTGGTGGCGATGCCTGTAGTCCCAGCACTTGGGAGGCAGAGGCAGGCGGAGCTCTGTGAGTTCAAGGCCAGCCTGGTCTACATAGTGATTTCCAGGGCAACTGGGGCTACAGGGGACCCTTTTTCAAAAAAACGAAAAAAAAAAAAAAAAAAAAAGTGCATGTAAGGAAAGTGCAGAAGAGGGTATGGACTGGTTTTTATGACAAAAGATGAAAAGATAAGAAAACACTTGGTGACAGGATGAAATTGAGAAAGCAAAAATGTTAAGAGATGCACAAAGCAAAAATCGGAAGTGCTCTTCATGAGTTGCAAGATAGAATGTTTGCATATCATTAGCTGATTATAAACTGAATTGTCTAGAAATAGTGAGCACAAAGATTTGTAGCAAGCTATCAACAAGCTGCACGTTCAAAAGGCAACAGATCAAGTCAATTTACTCACTGAACTTCAGATTCACTGTCAGTCAGAATAGCATCTTCATCTTCAAGGATCAGAAGTCCCCAAATATGGATGCTGTTCTGCAGCGGTGCTCAACAAAAGGCACAGTAGCAAATGCCCCAAATTACAGAAGAAGAATCCAAGTGATTTCTTTCATGTGTTCTGCTTATTTTAAAGATAAAGACACAGTGTGGCCCCACTTTGCATTACTATGTCTCAAATATTTAACAAGAGCAGACTTCAAAACCCAGAGCCTTTAGCAAGCGAGGATCAAGTTATATTTTACTAGTTATGTTTTGTTTTTATTGTATTTTAAAATAATCTCTATGTGATTTTCCATTTTAGGTCACGATAGAGTTTCTTTTTTAAAAAATATTTATTATTTCTATTTTATGTGTATGCGTGTATTGCCCGCATGTAGGTAAGTGCCCGTGTCGTGCAATGCCCGCGGAGGACAGAAGAGGCTGTCAGATCCCCTGGAACTGGAATTACGGACAACTGTTAGCTGCCATATGGGTGCTGGGATTTGAACCCGGGTCTTCTGCAAGAACAGTCAGTGTTCTTAACTGCTGAGCCATCTCTCCAGCCCCGTGATAGAGTTTCTTATGTATATTTAGCTTTACATAAATATGTGATAGATGATAAACAGGTAGATAGAAGTATATTAAATTTACGTTTAATGTATTTAATGACAAATGGTAGATAAATAATAGCACACCGATATAGTAAAAAAAAAAAAAAAGCACAAAATCTTGTGAAAACAGCACTCGAGTACCAAGTCCACTATTAGAAGAGAAAACTGAATTTCAGAGAACTTAGTGTCTTAGCCAGGACATGTAAAGTAATGCATTTGTAGGGCAGATGCATCGGGATCTTGGACCAGAGCTCTCTGTACCATTTTGTACTACTTGCAGAAAGGATCTAGATATCTCAGTTTGCACAGTGTGGAATACCTATCTCTGTGGTCTCTGGACAAAATATATCCTCAGGGCTCTTCGATGCCTTCACCAACC